GATGAATAGTATGACTGATTATGCTAGCATACAAGATTGATTTTGGACCACCATTGTGACTCTTTTTGTGTTCAGTTTAATTGATAAGTGTGTCACTTAACAGGTGATTTATAATCTATATACATGGAGCAGGTGTGTGCTATTAGGTACTAACAGAAGCCCGAGTCACACTGTAATCAGTGTATACTTATTTGATTAATGGTCTGTTTTTGCAAAATATTTTCTTAGCTTACGTTCGTGTTATTTTAGTTGGATGTTAATTTCTAATTCAATATTATCAGAATTATTTAGATTTTGAGCATGTAAGTGCAGGATAACTTTATAAAGTAGATGGTAGCAGTTAAAATTAGATTTATAATAATAATGTGGATATCTACTACATGTACTAATTGACATTCAAGTTAAATTGGTTGTGGGTTTTCTCTTCATATTAGTCCTTTGGAACCAGTATAATATAAATAGATTTATTTTACTTATTCTATCTTTATACTTAAATAACAGTTTCAGTGTCAAAACACTGATTTCCAAAATGGTTCAGTCTTAACCAAGAAAAGAAAACAATTGAAGAAACGTAATTAAAACAATTTCTTAGAATATTGATAATACAATAATTTACATTGAAGAATAATATGCATGGCAGAAAAAATAAAATGGTGTAAGTTACCTTAAAAAGGATTTGAAATAGAAGTTTTAAAATTTAGAAGTGTCATTGATTCAAAGTTTATTTTAATATTATCTGGGAGTTTCCATAATTTAGTTGATCTGTAAACAAAAGTATTTTTTTTATCTTATTATCCCATTGATCTACATTGCATATTATTCCATAGATCCAGTTGATCTGTAAACAAAAGTTCTTTTACCTTGCATATTATTCCATGTGTCTACATTGCATATTATTCCATTGATCTCTATATATTTCTCTTCAATCCTGTCTTAATAAATAAAATGCTAGGCAGAATTCACAGAGTGTGGTGACGCATTATTAATTTAGAAAGCATGTTATCTGGATTTTTATCTGCCAATGGTAAACTTTGGTAATGTCCTTTATTGATTGGCTGATTGATTAGTCAATAAAACTATTATTGAATTGATTGATCAATGATCAATTGGTTTTTATAGTGATTCAATTGGTTATTCAAATTGATTGGTCAATTAGTACTGATTGACTGTGTTATTTATCATTTGAATAACTGATGGCTCATTGATTGATGCTTGGTAAATGGTAAGACTATTGATTGGTTGATATATTATTTAATTGGTTGGTTGATTAATTATGTATTGGTTAATTGATTGATTGTTGTATTTACTGATAAAAGTATTTACCAACCTGAACAGTGACAGATCACAGGACAGATAGATGATGTATAAGAAACATTTTAAGATAAGTTTTGAGATCATCATCAATGTTGAATACACAGTACCTATGAATTTAACATGGTGACATTGCCTATAGGTTTAATTTATGTTATAGTGCAATAAATGGGCAGTAGTAGCATTTTTGTTAAGTATTTACCTTTGACATTTTATCCTGAAAATCCTACAATATGTCACACTTTATTTATGATTAGGAATTCAACTTGAAAATTGCAGCTTGATGTAACATAGGGTCATTTACATGGATGTTGCATGATTACCTCTTTAAGATAATGGACAGCTCATTTAACGTCTGTTATCTTAATGTATCCCTATTTTCCATTTAATTTATTTCACCATAATTAATTAAAAAACACACAAAAGAAAAAAGACATTACCCTTGTCAATGGCAGGATAAACATAAAGCAAACTAAATACTGTTAACTATTCCCCCCCCCCTCCAAACAAGGGTATAAAAGGGTATATAGTATTACATCTTCATGTCTTCTGCACAAAGCAGATTGTCCCATGGACATCCAGGTTGTCTTGCTTCTGAATCCTGACACTGCCTTTACAGCCAGTGGCCGATTCAAGAGGGGCTTCAGCTGGCCTGGGCCACCCCTAAATTTTTCAAAATTTAAAACAAATTGAAAAGGAAAAGAAAATTCAACTAAAATTTTGAGTCTGTGATTGCCATTTCCGGCCTCTATAATGTAGGTGCCATAATCATAAATTTTCTTCCTTCAGCCCCAAGCATGGTGAGGCTAAGGTAGTACAGACCCTCCATCTGTGAAAGTCCCTCTCTTAGCCCCCTTCATTTCAAATGCCTTGATCCGCCATTGACAGCATCTTCTTCATTCTTTGATGATGTCCATCTAGTTCATCCTCTATTAAGTTTCTTCAGTTGTCTCTCAAAAATTCTCTTCAGTTTTTCTTTTCCATATTAGTTATCGAAACTACTTTCTTTCGTTTAATCAATCGTATTAAAAACATTCTTGCTTTTAGTATTTCTTTGTTATCCTTCTCCCACCCACCCTCATGATTCAAAAATTCTAAATGTGAGTAAAAAATTCCAATTTATCTTAATTTTTGTGACTTGTTGGCTTTAAATTTCTCAAGACTCCTTTAAATGTAACTGCATTTTAGAAATGAAACCATGATGTGCATTTCTAATGAAAATGAATTCCTGTTTAGATCTCTCCTTCTATCCTGCTAATTAAAATGTCAGTTCTATTATCTTTTGAGTAATGATGATGTGGACGAAAATAGTTAACCATCAAAGGAGAAACAATTCCATAAATAAGAGTCTGAAATGTATGTCATTTCTATAGGCCATTGAGATGCTTATGTTTAAAGACAGGTCTCAGGCCTAAAGTGACCTGAAGGTCAGATTTATGTAAAGTGAAGTGTTGGCTTTGTAGCATAAATTTACACGAATATATTACAAAAATTTGTTGTGTGGTCTCTGGTAAATAATTGTATTATTAACATAATAATTTATGTTAATTAAACATATTGATAATACAGGATGTATATGTGATAGGACTTCACAGTAACATCCATTATAAAATATTAATTAATGAAAGCCATTATTATTGTGAGCGTTGCATAGCAACCTAGGGAATCTTTGAAGCTTGATTGTGTGTTGTTGCAAATTATTAATTTATATTATCTTTTGAATTTAGCAATAAATAATATTCTTTTAGTAATATTGTTAATTTATGTATGATTTTTTGAAATAAAATTAGGAAAAATACTACTGATATCAGTAAATATATGTTGTTCAGTTAAATTAGTATCAATGTATGAGCCTTAATTTAATTCAATTTAATTTAGTAACTATTTTTATAGTACTCATCGTATCTCATTTATTTCAATTACTGTTTATTCACTAACGTTAAATTAGCATATGGGGATATGTGCAGTATCTGTATGCAATCATTTTTATTATTGCTATTTTTCAAAATTTATTATTTTATTTTTGTCTGCGATATTTTATGGTGTTTTGTATGCTTTTACTCTACCATTGTTTACCCTTAATCATTATATAATTTTACTGTTACTAGCTTTCTATTATGAAACTGGATGATTGAGAAAATACAGTAGTGAAAATGTTGAAAAAAGAATACATACCGTAAATATATCCGACTTCAGAAGTTGTGACAGATAACACAAACTTTAATATCAGCTATATTGATTCATAACATTAAATTGCAAACAGAAAATTTACTATGCTATAAATTTTCTCTGGACTGGCATAAGATATATACAAAATATAAATAGGAAATATATGGTTCCTTATTGCAATAAGAAATATAATTCTGATTTCAATTTAATAACTTATATAATAATCTTTTAAATGAGTAGGGTAATTAAATCTTTTGATTTCTCCTACACCACCACTACAGACAGTGCATTTTGGATATTTTATTATCATATTGTCATTTTCATTTCAGATGTGAATCTTCTTGATGAATGGTACCTTCCCCGGGGTGAGGGGAGTAATTGTGTCTATGTGTTGCAACCTATGACGTCAAACATCAGATATCTATATGATCAGTAAGATTGTTTTCCAATTTTGTAAATTAAATTTGGCGTTTACAGTGAATTGAATCGATGACTATCAAAGCCTTATTTACATTTAACTTCTATTAGAAGAATCATTCTATGTCTAAAATCTTACCACTGTTTACACTTGTATTGTATAACATATTACAGTTTACCAAGGCCATGTTTAATATATACAGAGGATAGAAAGAAAAATATTTACCATTTCTTGCGATATTGCATCAGTCTATGCTTAGATTAATCTTTATGGTTTAAATTTTGTACAATACCAAATACTTATATTTATTTATTCAACTTTCAGCCAAATGTAAAGAATAATATAGAAAAGTAAATCCAAAACAGGCTAGAAATTATCAAACAGGTGCAAAACACCTATGTAAATTCTGTCTACGGCGCACTAAACAAATAACAAATTTCAATGTACAAGCAAATTACGTTTAGAAAAACTAAACATTTACATTACAATAGTGATAACAATAGGGATAATAATAATGAATAAAATTATTAACCTATCAGCAAACAGCAAAAATAAAACATAGTAGATAAATAAATTTAAAAAAATAATAAAATAAAATAAATAGCTATATACTATCATAGAAGCAGCTAGAGAAAATGCAAAACATAAAAATGAATAAAAAAATATGATTTTTATTAAAAGGACAAGCATGTCAGCTCCACTATTATTATAGTATCATAGACCGATTATATAAAATATAAAATGATTACATTAAATTTTTTAACAAATTACAAATTACTGTAGTACAATAAATGAAGCCAAATCAAGACAGCTGCATTACAGGAAGATTGTAACAATGTCATGCTGCTTAATGATTTTTCTGCACAGTATCTTTTACCTGTTAAATATTTCTGTCAAAATTTAATCTGGTAAACTACGTATAGCCATGTGACTCGGTTAAATTTAATCTTGAAAGAAGATTCTGCAGCTATAAAAGTTTAGTTAAACCAGTGGTGGATCCAGGAATTCCATATGGAAGGGGGCTTACGGTGAAGTTTTATAGATGGAGGGTTCAAAAATCCTCAACCCCAAATGTAGTTGGTGCTGAGGTACAAAATGTTATGGTTTAATTAATAAAACACTTCTAGATAGACAGAAATAGAAATTTCAGATTTAAATTTCAATTTAATACTCTCTTTTTTCCATAGTATATTTGTCTGGCTCAGGTCCCTTGAATTTCCCTTTAAACTCATTAGCATTCTGGTAAAAATAACACAGAGCTTAGTATTTGTTGTGTATTGTAGAATGAATGCTTTTATCCATATTTATCCATAAAGCTATTAGTAATATATTTTCATTGCTTATGTTTGCAATGACCTTTACTTGCGAGAAGGCATCTAAGTGGATTTTTTAATGTATTTTGGAAATATTCTTTGAATCCATTGTTTTTGCACCATGTTGTAAAAATGTTTATAGAATCTAAATATATACAGCTATTGTCATTTTTTGTTAATATAAACCTGAACATGATAATACTTCTGGTGATATTACGTTCAGATATTCTTGGAGGTTAAAGGAAAGGTCATAAAGCATCTCATTTGGAATTATGTTCTTTTCAACCAAAATGGAATATTTTTACATCCTCATATCACAATTTCAGGAATATAATGTTTTGCTATATTGTTATTTTTTCTCCATTAAGATATTTAAAAAAAAAATGTTTGTAGTATAATTATTGATTAATCAGTTGTACCAACTGTTTAAAAAATTTCACACTATTAAAAAAAAGAAATTAGACAGTGTTATTAATATCGCTTACTATTAATAACTATTATTGTTATTATCGTAATTTGTAGTGTGAAAGTCCAGACTAGTACAGATTTTATAGATGAATAAAAATGCATTTTATATGACTGGCATAAAATTCTACAATAACTTCTCTGCTTTACTGAAATAATTTTAATTTTATGCAGGTCTGTCTCTTATTAAAGACACTTTTCTTTAAATTTCTTTTATCTAATTAGAGATCAAAGCTGCTAAAGACCATGGAACCCATGGTCCTCAAAGAGACGTGTATAATGTTTAACATTTACACATATTAACATATCGTACATAGTAACCAAGTATTTGTGCATAATTATATCTAAATTATCTGGTTGATTGATAACTTGATGTAAGTAGACAAATTCTTGGAAAAAGGAGAAAAAAGACTATAAATTCATTTCTTTAATAAATTTGAATTCTTAAATAACATAGTATTAGATATATTTATGTCATGTTTAAAATGTAGTATACATAAAATATTTATATTTGATGCTCAATAAGCAAAGATATTAAAATATAAATAGTTTCTACATAAAATTTATTCATACATACTTACATGTAGAGAACTACTGCACATAACATAAATTACAAGGACAGCTTAAGCACATGTTTTACAATAACTATGCGAGGGGTCAACTGTCCCATTAATCAATTGTTTAATACATTATAATTTATGTACAGTATACCATCTTAGAATATCTAACTGATACTACACTTCTAAATTGTACATTTGATATAGAAACTACAGAATTAGTGATAATAGAATACTAGGCTAAATTTTAAAAATAAGGTATCTTCATGAGATCTTCATGAATTTTAAAAAAAGAATATTGAAGTCACTTTTTTCCTTATTTTTTTAAAACAAAGTTGGTCACTTTTGAGGAAAAACTGTTCAAAAGTATGGTAGTCCATTAATGACTCCTGGTTGCTGCTAGATAATCTGGCCATAGAAAATGTTTTTAACCTTCAAATCTGTTTTAGAACATATTATGAAGGGAAAATTGTTTTAGTTTTCCTGTTCAATTTTTTTTATGCAATTTTAAAAATTTATATTTCATAATAAATATGTAAATAATTTATAGTTTAATATTTAACCATATCAATGACAATATCAAGACAATTTTGGGTGTGATGAAATTATAATTAACGTTAACCTACATTTAGGAAGGGCCCAGGATTGCGCTAGAGTGTTGTGGGGGGGGGGGGTGGATGGTGAACCTTTAGATTCTGCATTCTGTTGTGCCAGACTGATGTGACTTCCCAACATTTTTAAATATTTTTCTGTGAAGCACATTGAAGCTTTTTGCATTATGCACTATATAATTAGAACTTATTATTATTAATTCAAACATTTGTCCCCAGGGTTTGGTCCTAGGTACCATAATGAGACTTGTGTATACAATATGATCAGCTTTCCTGTCCCTAGCCTATATGAGTATATACAAATGATCAAGGTGTATGGCAGAATCATACTACCAGCATATGTTATGCTATGTAAATTTCACATGGCATTTTGGTTAAGTCGGCTATACTAATTAATTATAATAATTTGTGCTTACATTGCAAACAAACAACAAACTGAATATTTTGCTTGTGTTTTTGTAGTAACTATTCTTCCTAGGAATATAAGTGGCTACCTGGTAGGATTTTGTGTCATTGAATGTTTTCAATTCATAACTTTAATTTATTTGATGAAAATTATTGTTGTAAAACATCTCAATATTGTTAATATTGGCAGTATCATACTGTATATCCTAGATTTGTTATTTTTATTAGTAATAATTTTTTTCTCAATTAAATTTATTAGCATTCTATTATTATCGTTGCTATTGTTGTTACAGCCCAATGTGATGTGTAAAAATAGCACTTAAAAAACTGGACTTAAATCAGTATGAAAGGAGTGTAGAAAAGTTTTTTTTGCAAGCACTAAAATGTCAAATTTTCACCATAGGTTTGTTTTTTGCGGCACTCATCATTAACTCAGAAATTCGGTTTGGCTCTCACCCTATTTTCATGCTAATTCATGGATAAATACACCACTTTATTGCTGAGAATTTAACATGTGTTACAATCAGACCCAAAAACAAGAGGTCTTAAAGACATTTTTCCAGTTTGTAATACCAATTAGATACCTTTCCCTTACCATATACTGGACTATTGAATACATATATCTATATCCGTATGTAATTGTGGTAGATTTGTAATGTAATCGAGTTTGTATGTGTTGCTATGACGGTGGTTGGAAGGTTGCCATAGCAATTTTGAAATTTATTGTGAAAAGTTAATTGGTGGAGAGGATGACAGGTCGCCATGGTTTTAGAAGTGATGATGATTGGACCAATTTGTGGGCTATGGCAGTGCTCATTAGTTTGTTTGTGGTTTGAAGGTGAGGGGTTCGTCCTTTGTGACCAGCGTAATTAAAACAAGCAACTTATCACTCGTCTTGCGTGATAGATTTTAGGACATATTGTCAATGTCTAGATGGAGCTTAGTCTATCATTATTGCTGATTATGTCATAATTTTAATTGAATATTTATTAATGTTTGTTTTGCTCTAGTTATATTTTGTAAGTTATAAATTTTTAACATTTGTCTTCAATATAATAAAACCAAATATTCTCAGCAAGTTGCAACTTCCAAAACAATTATCATTTATTGTTTTCGAACTCCCTATTTCCAATTATATAAACTGAATGTAGATTTCTTCAAATTTTACCAATATGTGTAACACAAACCTGAGTAATGATAATGATGATGGTCATTGCATTGGTGCAATGGCGATTATGATGATCATGGTGCTGGTGGTGGTGGTAGTGGTAGACGATGAAGCTGATAATAATAATTGGTGATGGTATTGATAATAATGGTTATGAGGATGATAATCATAATGTTGGTGATTGACAAAGAGGTTGTGATGATGTCGGTAGTGACAATGAATGCTAATTATGATGATGATAATGTTAATAATAAAATTGATGATGATGATAATATTGATCATAATTGATGATGTTAAATAATGATTATTGGTAATGATGAAGATTGGTGATTATGATGATGATGGTAATATTGATGGTGATAATGATGATAAAAATGATGATGATACCAGTGATGAGGATGATGATGATGATAATGTTAATGATAATGTTGATTATAGTTGAAACTGTTGATAATGATGATAATGGTGTTGTTGATAATGATGATGATTGGTGGTGATGATGGTGATGATGATAGGTGATGCTATTGATAATGATGATGATTGGTGAGGATGATGATGATGATAATAATGTTGATAATTGATGATGATAATAATGACATTTTAGTATTGGTAATAGTGATGACATAGTAATAACTAATTATTTAAAGAATAATAGTCAAAATAATAGTTTCCTTTATTACCATGAAGATTTGATTTATTAATCATTATAATTCTCAATTTAAGGTAACTTTATTTATGTTACATATGCTTTTGATGTTACAATACAGAAATTCCAGATTGAAAACATTCACATATTTTGATAAAAAATATTATCTTAACATAAATGGTATAATCATTGGAGATACATGGCTTGAAATGGTGTGGTTTGCTTAATAATATTGTGGTACTGAAAACTACTTTTATAAGCTTCCTCTAGGCTAGCCCAGGTATTGTGTTGGATTGTTACCAAAATAACCATCTAGAGAATTCATGTACAAAATTAATGCAACATAAGAAGATATGTTTCAAGTAGATATTAAAATTATGTATGAATAAAATTTACAAAAAAATCAATAAAAGCTTTGATGGGTGAAAGCTGCCCGATTATAATTGGCTAACGTTCTCAACGAAGACAGGTTGAAGCAAGCGCATCCCCTAAATCATAGTTTAATTTTGAGATTGTATGGTATGCCTGGAATACACTCCCTATTCTGCTAAATTGCCTTAAAATTATTAGAGTTCTTTTGTTTCAGTGAATTTTATATCAAATCAAAAATTGATTTCTGTAGAGCTTCACTTATCAAGAAATGGATAGTTGTACAATCGCTTAAGATACACAAAATTGTCAAAAGGGTTTTAAATATCATTGTCAAATTGAAAACAAAAACCACCTGTTAGCTCAATAAGATGCATCCTTTTAGAGTTTCAGTATGCATATTCCATACTAGTTTTGTATTAAAGAGTGAGTATCTTGCATAAATTAGCATAAAATTATAAAAAGCAATAATGTCATTAAAATGATAATTGTACATACATTACATTATTTATATAGTGCTATTGCATGAAAATCAGAGTGTTTTTTTGCTTTTGTTTAATGGTGCTGTATAATAAATATGTACATTTTAGATGTACACTTAATCGGTAAGGAAAAACAAATATATTTAAGAAAATAATAAAATAACAATAATTGAAAGAAACACATAATTATAATAGCTTTTAAAAAGTTATATTAATACTGACAAGAACAATAACAATAAAAAATGTAATAGCATTTAAAAAATTGTCAGCTAAGCCTATATGTCAGATAAGTAGACTAAGGTCAGCTTCACACAAGAGCCCATCTGGATCAAGAGCACTGTTAGCACCTGTGAGAATGCCTGATCAGTTTGCGCTTACCAGGATCCGGATACGTTAACGGTTAGCGAGCGCTATCGGTTAGCAAGTTGAGTGCGTTTCATTAACCAATCACACATACGCATTTCCAATTTTCAGTTTCCTATTGGCCAGTCATCTGATCATCATCTTTTGGTATCTGGATGGGGGATTTTCTTGTATGAACGGACGGGTGAGCGCGTATGTTTGTAATCCGGATCCTGCTAACCATTAGCTGCCATGTGTGAACATAGCCAGTTTTAGCAGTCATACTATAATACTACTACCACCATCCGACTAAATTAAATTTATTTATTATTATTATTATTGAAAATAATATGGACATGTTACGTGCAGCTGTACATCATCTTGATCACAGTGACTTTGAAGATAAACATTATCATCTCTTTCAATTTTAGGACAGACGAGAACAAGGAACAACACGAGAAAGATGTTGCACGATGGCGCAAGACGTATGAGAGCTTATTAGATATATTGCAGCAGAGTTCCGAGTATATTCATGACGAAGGTTTGGTAAAGGAAAAAGAACTGCAAAAGTACCATATGTCAGGTATAGTATTTCACTTTGAATAATGTTATATTCCTTAGCTACACACAAACACTATAGCTTTAATAACCATTGTTATAGAAGTACTGTACATAAAATGTGGGTGGTTTGTTGATGGCTCCCTGATATGACAACAAGACATCTTACTAATGAGGAATAAATTAGAATAGATGAAACCATTTGCTGATTATTACAGTGAAGTTGCTCATTCTCCTATAACTTGTTAAATATGTTTCCTATCTTATATAATAACAACAACAATAAGTATAATAATAATAATAATAATTACAACAATAATGATAATAGTAATGATAAATAATAACAGTAGAGAGCATATCTCTGCCCACCGCCAATATCTTTCCATAAAGTAAATCTCACATTCCTACTTTCCAACCCCCAACCACTATCTATTTAAAAAAGTACACTTTCAGTTTCATTCAGATCAGTTGATTAGTTTTTCAGATATCTGATCTGGGAGGTTTTGCTTTGAATGGTCCATATATCCAAACCATAATTTAATCACTTCATTTCTCGAACGCCTTTGGTATCAGTTGTACGCCTGTCAATTCCTTACATTTTCTGCCTCAACACACTGGCACGTTTTACTCTTATAGCTGACAAAAAAATACATGCCATGTATAATTGGTGTTGAAATGGAAATATGCAAATAGAAATACAGGGATTTGGTGTTCAGCGTCACATGTTTAAATATAAAGATCCATTACAAATATTCACAATTATTTCCGAAAAAAAGTGATTTAAAATCTAAATCAAATGTTTCATTTACCTTGCATATATATAAAGTTTATTGTTTAATTTTTCTTATTTGTTAATACTGTACCACTTCAAAAATCAATGATTTAGCACTGAAAGTTTATCATCTAGCATGCTATTTCGAGGTGCAGTGAATCTTGACGAAAATAAAATATATTTAATTTTTTTTTAATTTTCATTTTTTTTAAAGTAATGTTTAATTTTACAAATTACCCAGTCAATATGTATTATATAATTAAAATGGTTAATTGCAAATTATAAATTAATTACAAAAACAGTAATTTTTTTTCCTTACCTTTTTTTTATCAATTTTAATTTCCCTTTCCCTCTTTTTCTTTTCTTATATTATTTTCTTTTCTGCACCACCCACAAATGATTATATGATGTATCAATTTCTCCCCCCCCCCATAAAAATATGTGTAAATGTATATTAAACTGAACAATGTACTTTTCAGATGGCATATGTGGTAATATAAAATTATCATATTTTGCGAACAGTACAATGTCCTCTTTTAATACCTTATGCATTTTTAGCTTAAAATTAAATATTTTTATTTAAGCTGCATATCCATCTTTTTTAGATGTTAAATAAAATTTAAATAAATAATTACAAAAATTATAATCTAATAAATTGAATTTTGGGAAAAAATATTGCAAAATACCTGGCAGTTATTTATTGGCAAAAAAATATTTCCTGAAAACAGACTTTTCAGGAAATTAGAATTTAGTGGGCTAATGTGTCAGTCATTTATTTAAAATTTTAAAAAAATGTTATATCCGAAATGTATTAAAAATTTACAAAGTTATAGAATTAATTAATAAAATTGTTTATTTTCAGCTTTGGAATGCGAGTTGACCCAGTCTTTGGCCCTGACCTCTGAACCTGGTAATAAATGCATTTGCATATTTCGAAATTTAGAGGGAATGCCTCAGTCGGTGGACAGTCAAGAAATGCATAGTTACATAGATCTCCGTAAAGCCACAAAACCGAAGATCTTGAAAAAGGCACAGGAACAGATCAAAGTGTTGAAGGAGGTGCGTATACCTGCTAAAGTTCCGTCAGATAATATTCTGAAATTCTCTGTGAAATGGACACCGAATGGCATTTCACCGAATAATGAGGAACATAATACCTACCTCAAGCAACTATGCAATAAATTTGTAACAACGGTTAAAAGTTTGATTGACAAGCAGGCCTTGAAGGACCAAGATGCCGCATATCAGCGGAGGCCGGACGAGATGCGTAAATTACAGAATGAAGTGATGAAGCATTTGGAGGTAGCAAACAGACATTGTGAGATATTTGTAAATAGGGACAGTATCATGGGCCAAGTCAAAAGTCTTGTGCAGGAATGTTCTGCTGATAAGAGTACAAGTAGTTCGCCGATAGTTTTGTATGGTGACCCGGGATCAGGTAAAAGTGCGGTTCTTTCTCAAATTATCAAATTGTCGCCGGAATGGTTAGGAGATTCGGTGGTGAATGTGATACGCTTTTTTGGTGCTACGACTGATTGTAAGACAGTTCATGGTGTTCTTTATAGTATATGCCAACAGATTATTAAGGTATACAAACCAAAGGGTAAAACCCGAATTCCACAAGATTTATCCGATCTTCTTTCATTCTTCACTGATCTTGTGAAGACCGCACCAAGCACACATAGACCGCTAATGATTGTTTTAGACATTCCATGTGATATCACTTCTAACCTTAGCTCTAAGCATATCAAATGGCTCCCGACGGAATTTCCGTCCGTGGTGTCAGTTGTCTTGTCAATGGATGGTAACACACCAGTTTTGAAGGAATTACGAAATCTTATTCCTGAAAAGAACTTCATTAAAGTCACGTCGATGAATGATCGTGAGTTGTCGGAGATTGTTCGAGGTTTCTTGCATAAGAATGGTCGAGTATTACCGAATGAGCAGTTCAAAATATTGACTCGTGCTTTAGCCCGGAATCCGCTGCCGCTGTACGCTAAGCTTCTGTGCCAAGAGACACAAATTTTGAATTCCTCAGGAAATGGCCGCGACCCCACGTCATCAATCTCAGATGCTATATCAGCGCTTTTTCTAATGCTAGAAGATAAACACGGACAGTTTCTAACATCTACGATTTTACGGTAAGTAAGGAAAATGTGTACTAACGTATCATTCAAATTCAATTGATCTCAAAGGAAATGCACCTTGAAATGCTGTTGCACCCAAGTTATGGGACAATATTTTTTATGTTGCATTGCTTCAACAATAAAAAACAAAAACATCAATTATTCTATTCTCCAAAACTACTTTGATACAATTGTCATAAAAAACTCAAAATTATTTTTATTATAAAACACTAAATTGCATCCATTTGGTTTAACATTTCATATACGAATGATGCTCAATAAAACTTGATTGCTGTTCTACAACTGCTTATTACCTCTATTCATACCATTCGATATTATTGAATGGTAAGTGTTATTCAAATTTATAATGTATGTAAGGGCACTTTCGAAGAGCAATTTTTTGGCACTGTGATGGAAAATTTATGAATACAAATAAAATAAATCTTTTATTTCCACAGATATATCACATGTGCCCATAATGGAGTGACAGAGTTGGAACTCCTTGATTTGTTGTCATGCAACGATAATCTTCTTAACTATATTTATCCCGATACATACCCTATTCCTCTTCGATTCCCATATCAAATTTGGGCTGGATTTAAGAGGGACGTAGGTAAGTAACGTATGGTTCTGTACTATAGATTTCTTCAAAAATAATAGTCAATTTAGATATTACAATTCAGTTTAAAACCAGTCTTTGCAAACAAAATGTTAAAGATATTTAAAGATTCATTGGAAAACAAAGTGCGAGATTAATACAAAACAACAACAACAATATAATTATAATCAAGCCCTAAAACTTACTTGATATTTTGATTAAGAATTCTAATGGATAGTGGTACGAATGAGTTGAGATACCTATTTGTTCTACAGGTTTGTTTTTTTTTTTTAGTTAGAGTAAAAATTCGTTTTTACTATTCAGGTTTTTCCAATTAAAAAAAAGCCTTTTATTTCAATTACCAATAGTAATACAGTATTTTAATTTTTTTATAAGAGGAAAGTCAAATTATTTTACTGCAACTATATCAATATTCAGAGTTAAAAAAAGACAAATTTCTTAAATAGGTAAATGACTTAATGCACATTTTAATGTAGTCTTTTAACGTGTACTTGCCTATTTTTTTGGCATTTGTAAGTAAAGTACTAGATTTATTTCTATATTTATTATCATTTGGTCACGTAAAGCACGTATTGTGTTTTATTATTAAGAAATGTTATTATGTTATTAAAATATACATTTTGTTACTCTTGAAGGGTCCCTATTGGAAGGAAGTCACATGGACAATAAAAGCCTTTTCATTTGGAGTAACACAGTCATTGCATCCATGGCAACACAACGGTACTTTCCTACAAAAGCGCTCAAAGTAGAATGTCATCGGGACTTCGCAAACCTCTTCATGAATGCATGGGTAAACGGGAAGCCATACAAGCCCAGTAGTTTCGGCTCTGACGATGAGGTGTTAACCATTAGCCGTGGAGTGGCTCCGCAACCGCTCATCTATGGACAGACACGGTATAATTTGCGGTGTGTGAGTGAACTTTGGTATCATCTACTTCATGCTGGTAAGTTCGTTTTAAAATTTCTTTTAATTCTAAACATTTATTTTCTTTAACTCATTTTTATGAAATAGGCAATCACAAAGGAATTTCCTTTCAATTTGCCCAAAACAATGATTAAAGCCACTGATCAAGATAATGGGTTACATAAAGAGAAGATATGTTTATGTTCATCTCAATAAATATAATAGTACAAATAAACAGTAAACAGTAAAGGTAAAAAGTTAACCTGCGATAGTGAAAATTCTAACTAGAATAAAAATGTGTGCCCCCTGATTTAGGCCTACGCAGTGTGGTAATCCGCCCCAGATATTAAAAATTAATGCTGTGGCCAGGACCATGGGCCTATATCACCTGAGTGTGACCCATATATGTTAAAAAAGTATGGGAGCAAAATATGTTAAAATGTTGACCCCTGAGTTAATGTAGGGCCCAACTAAAGCCCCTATCGCACTGGACTTAATTTGGTCAAATTAACCGAGTCACTGGCTAAATTGACCAAAAAAAAGTCGGTTACAATTCCCTCAGGGTTAAATTAACCAAGCCGAATGGTTAATTTTACCGACCTCAGCCTGCCCAGTACAACTTACCACGGTCTCGGTTAAACTAACCACGCTGGTCAAGAAGTCCAATCCGAACGTGTAACACGTTTAAAATTCTTCCATGTTGACACCGCTGGAACAAAACCGGAAGTTGAAGTCACAAACTAGCGCCCTCAATAATATTTTTTATACACAAGGTTAAATCTTGGTAAAACTATGGTAAAACTAATCGCGTGAATAATCCAAGTGCGAACAATGGTGAAATGTACCCATGACTTTGGTTAAAGTTACCCTGGTTAAATTTACCAGTGCGAACAAGGCTTAAGTCTTAGACTTGTTCCTTGAGCCTCTTTATTATGCCACTGGCACTTGGGCCAGTGGGGCTTGTGATCCTTGCTCTGTACAGCTTGTCTCCCTAAACCCACAGCTTCATGGACAAGGTTCATTCACAAATGAAATATCTTTGCATTGATGAAATATTTGGACATTTACAGGTGATATCAAACAGCTGAAATCAGAAACAGTTTGTAACTTTGAATATCTTCTGGCCAAGATCCATGCAACATCGGTTTATTCTCTGATACAAGATGTTGACACCATACTGAAGTGGATGATAGATTCAGAGCTCGATCTCATCCGGAGTGCCATCACTTCCTCCGTTAGTACACTGGCTGAGGATCCTTTACAACTTGCCGCAGAGCTTATTGGACGTCTTCTTCCAATGAATCGTTAGTAAAAAATTGTATAATTATTTGCTGTATATTATGTACTGTATCCCTGGCTTAAATTTAGCCACTGCTCTTATTAATATTATTATTATTATTATTATTAGTTTTTATTATTTTAACTTTAATTTACTGAATGAATATATATTATTCACTATATAACTGTAAAAGGCTTTTCAAATTGGATATTTTTTTTATTCAAAGTAACGATGTACCTGGGAATTTTAATGTGAACTGCATGAATATAATTTTCCTCTGGAAGCTTACCCAACCCTTACGGTTAGGTTATCCCAGTGTATCTGACCCAGAAATATTAACTAGACTGTGTTCCCCAAACAGACGAACGGAGCAACAGTATAATGTTCATATTAAACAAATTAAAATATCATCACATATTTATAACGACAAAAAGTTCAAATCTGGACTCGACTGCATTTTATTGCATACTGTGATGCTGCTTTCATACTGTCATTATATTTAAAACCTACTGTGTATTTTAATCCAACTACAATGAGTGGTGTGATTTAGCCAAGCTAATGTCAACCTATGCGTTGGTCAAAAGTAATCCAATACAAACACAAACTTAGTGTCATTGATTCCAGAAGAGAAGTTTGTTGTGATGGGTTTGGATTTAGTCATAAGTATGACAGGTACAGCTAAGTATAGTTAATACACATAATTGATTAGAGCAGAGGGGCTGAAATACTTTGTATAATTTCCATATTTTCAATGACTAGATGGGATCTGATATAATAGATCAAGTTTATGTTAATATATACAAAAAAAAACATTAATTTTTTTGGCAATACACTGCAACAAATACAAAAATAAACATGAGTAATATAACTTACTTACTTAGGCAGGTGGCTTTTCTCAAACCACAATGACTTTCCATAGGTGTCATTCATTAGCAGTCTTGAGGTCCTCTGCTTCCATTTAAGTGTCTACTTTATGTAGTTAACCTCCCCCCCCCCATATAAAACCATAAAATTTAAATAAATAAATAGTAAGTGTTAATTGTTAATATTTGTTTATTTCAGGAGATTACCCAAATGCTTTGCAAGATCTGGTAAAACAAGCAATGGCTTGGTGTGATGTGTTCACAAGACCTTTGTTGAAACCAATCGCTTTATGGCTTCCAACTCCACGACAACAACATATCACAACGCTCAACTGCAATGAGAATATTGCCAGAGTCCACATTTCTAACGACACACAGTTGGCATACTGTCTGACCATGGATAACAAGATGGTCGTCTACCACATCGCATCACAGGAGAGAATCGGGGAATTTCCACCTCTAGAGGGCAATGTGACTGCGTTTGTTTTGTCGAAAGATGACAGGTATTTGCTGATGGGCTGTGACAAGGTTGCAATATTATGGGATGCAGAAAGCATGAAACCGTTGCATATATTCCGAGATCACAAGGACATAGTTATGTGCGTGCTGATTTCACATAACATGAAATGGCTGTTTACTGGCTCGGCAGATGCTACTGTGCGTGTGTACAACCTGACAACCGGGAAGTTCCAGGTGAAGTTGGAAGGTCATGAGAAGGCGATTGTTGGGATGGGCATCAATACGCATGATGATGTACTAGTCTCGTGTTCACTGGATTTCTCATTCAGGGTATGTGAACATTTTTGGATTGGGTGTGATGCAATGAAATGAAGATGAGACAATAAAAATCAAAGGGGGTGTGGTAGCAGAACAGAAGTAGATTCCCTGCTTAGATAATCATATTTGGCATTTTTCCACAACTGCAAACTCACTTTTTTTACTTCCTTTTTTGGGTGGTTTTGGGGTTTCTTTTTAATGTCTCTCCAAGACAGAGTTATAAAGTATGTTTCTTTATGAGATTTAAAAAGTGGAGTTTGTTTTTATTTGTGAGAAAAATCCTGATGTAACAGGATATTAGCCCAGCACCTGGAATGGTAAGGCAAACTTAAACCAAGCTACTGCTCAAATCAAAATGCTTGGCCACCCTCTTCTAAGTCTGTATCTAGGAGAATTAAGAAAACAAGAATTGTGTTAAAAGTGGTATGAACAATATCAAGGAAATAAATGATATGAATAGATAGTTTAACACAAACCAAACAAATTGTACATTAATATTGAAATGACCACTGAATCCAATAGGCCTACTGTATAGAGTACATACTGTACTCTTGGAGGTGCTCTTCAAAATGTAAGATGACGACTTAACTTTTGAATTTGTTCCCTTTTTGATCTCTTCTCTTTGTAGACATGGAATCTGGATGATAATTCTCTTTTGGATGCTATTGAGATGCACAACAAACCAATCACAAGCATGACATTATCAAAGGATAGCACTTTCTTATTATCAGGTATGTCTGCACTCGTTTAACCATTCATCCTCTTAATATACCGTCAACACGCTTATCTCATCTTTGTTACAGTTATTATGTGTATCAAAAGCTCCGAATTGTTTTCTATTACTGGTTGTCTTTGCTTAACGATAGCCTTTTAATACCTTATCACCTACTTAGTCTCTGTAGGGGAATCATTTAGTTTATAAAGTACCTGCAGTTGGATATTTAATTACCAAATTAACCAAGATGTTCAGATATTGTACAGTACATGGAACTAATAACTAAGTGTTGCTTCCTCAAATGATACTGAATACACCTACCTGGGTCTCATCAAACTTAAAAGTACAGTAGAAACCTGGATCACTACAGTCCAGTTAAAGGGACTAATCAGTATTAACTGTAAATGCATGGATATGGCCAGGTGATAACAAACAGAATGAAAGAGCAGCTTAGCTCAGTGAAAGAGCAGTTTAGCTTAGTCGGCTAATTTGGTGGTAGCCACTGTGTGTGCGCTGAACCATGAATATCTGTAGGTCCCCTGTTCAATTCCCATTGCTGCCTCTCCTTATGTTTCAGATGGAGGGCTGAAATACAAGTTACAATAGTGCACCGTCTTTCGAATGAGACGTTTAAGCCGTTGGTCCCGTGTGGATTATTGCCCATGTGCATGTTAAAGAACGCAGTACACTCTTCGTAAAAGAGTAGGGGATTGTCTCCCGGTGTACTGTCCAATGGCCACCAGAAGGACCCCACTGGAAATAAGTCTTCTTCTAGACTTTCGTGGGCTATCCTTGGTGTTTACACCGAATAAGTCCAAAACCATCCATTCCAAAGAATGAGACTCTTGTATACAGAATCACAAAACCAGTTGTGTTTATTCACATTATTCATAGCTAACTTTAGTATAGGTAACTGGACATAGTTCAATGTGAACTTTATTATATCAACTCTGAATATAAGAGAGCAGTACTCGCTATTCTTTGTGTTTAAATCCTTCCGTTTTTTGGTGGAAATATTCATATGCAACAACAATAAAAAACATAGTAAGTTTTCTGGGCATCAAACCTACTGTACCAGGTAGCCGTTTACACTCCTGAGTGGATGTAAGCAACATGGATAAAGTGCATGTCTAAGTGAGAATCAGTTTCAAACTCAAACCCCGAATCTTATTTGACAGTCTGCAGCTATATTATTGCGCCACATACAGTACTTCTAATACTTCATTGATTTTTTGGAAACGCTGTACTACCACACCCAAAAACTTTAACGATTTGCAACTCAGTTTTCTGTAATTCAAATCCTGCCATTCGTCAGGTTTTTTCATGAACAAAACGCAAAATTGAAGATTCAAGTTAACCTTTCTTCCGTTGTTTTTTGGTTTAGCGTACAGTGATTGTAAACTTGAGGTTAGTTGCCTTGTGACAGGAAGTGAGGTGCATTGTTTGGAGGGTCATGACACCAAGGTAAGCACATGCAGAGTGCTCTTCAGTAATTATCGTAATTTTCGGGGTTGTCAGCCTCTACTGAATAAGTGCACGATGTTGTGGAACACAGCGCGTCTAGGTATACTCCCCATGGAGTGTAGAGTATTGCACTTCATGGGGGTTTGAGAACTTAGATTCCAGTGTCCAGGGGTAATAATAACTCAGTAAAAATATTTTAATCCTCAAAAAAATGTGTGGTATATAATTTTTATATTATTATTATTATTATTATTATTATTGTTATTATTATTATTATTGTTATTGTTATTATTATTGTTGTTATTATTATTATTATTATTATTTTTGAGTAGAGTTCAAGGGTTATAGAAAAATATCCTACCTTTTTTATGTAAAAAAAAATGGCTTTTAAAATGTTTTTTGAATGTTTTAACAATAAATTAACCAAATCTGTTTGTTTACTTGCTAATTTTGCATTCAATATCTAATCTATAATGGCAAGTTTGTGAAAAAAATGAAACTGATATGATAGCAAAATTGTTATCTCAAAATATTGATAGTTAATAGACAAGATTAATTGCTGGATTGTGAGTAAGCTCCGAGTGGGGCAATGGCTTAAGGAACCATTCGTTGTACTATTAATTGTGAAGAGTAATTGATCGTTGGATTAGGTTTATGATTCATTATGTAGCCACGTGTACTTTTAATTTGATACTAATGACCCTGATTTATGTCATAATTTTGATAATTATTTGCTACTGCGATTTTATGTCTCCTTTGTACAAGTGTTTTCTTTCATTGCACTGTACTGATGAAAAGCACTGAAGCAATCAAGTCAACATACTGTAGTTAATCTAGTGTTACTAAAATATTAATTATGGTTCTCTGTTACTGTATATTAATAATGATAAAAATAAAAATATTAATAATAATATAGTTTATTGTTATTAATGATTTATTAATACCCTTTTCCTGTTATTAGTGATATATTTATTGGATATTTGTTATTAAATGTTACAAGTCTAGCAGTTTATAAGGTGCATAGATCAATCCTATAGCTTTCTACTTTCCAAAGACGGGTTTTTATATTTGAGGCTTTATGCCGAGACAATTTGAATATTGGTAATCTTTGAGGAGAGCCTTACTGCCAAACAGTGCTGGCTTTCACGTTTTAATTTCCCTTCTTTCTTTTCACCAGGTCACCTCAATCAGCATATCATCAGATTCAACGTATGTTGCCGTTGGAACTATTGACCACAAAGTACACGTATTCAACATGAAGACAACTGAACTTGTGCAGACATTTACGGAACACACAGCACCCGTCTGTGACGTACTCATCACCGATAAGGATTACTTCCTCATTTCTGCCGGCCATGACAACAAGGTCCATGTTCGAAATTTTATCAAACCAGAAAAGATCAGACATATCAATAGTCTCCATGATGGAGAGGTCACATGTGTTGGTAAGTTGTATCCCATAATTCATTTTTGAGAAATGAGTATGTACAGTAATTACGTTCAAATTGTGTTTCTTTTGATGTCTGTATGATATTTCGTATTGAGAAGGTGCTAACATCAGCCTAACTAGAAGGGCTATAATACTGTAAATAAATAATAATTTTTATAATTTGCATATTTGTTCTATAATATTTATATTGTTGTGGCAAAGACAAGCCAAACCAGTCACTCGTTGCAAATCGTGTTTCAGAGAAAATGGCCAAAACATGCTGGAATGTCAAATTTTAAAAAATCTATTTTATTGCACTAAACTAACCTTTACATATCTACACATCATTCTATGCTGTTATTTTCCCCATTTTAAATGTTAAAACAACACTTTTTAAGGATTCAAAGATAGTTTCTGCATGAGCAATGCCTGAAATCACAATCTTTGAAGGCTGATTTCTCAAATATTGTTCATTAAACATCTGTGTGGTTAAACGCTTGTAACTTCATAAGGAAATGTCCGATTTGAATGATTTCTTTACCATTTTATAGCTATTATATTACTCTCTGACACTGTATTAATAACTCAAAATCGATTTTTTGCGACAAGTGACTGGTTTGGCTTGTCTTTGCCACATATTATCATCAAATTAAGGTTATGGAAAATATCTATAATAATTTTTTTTCTAATTTAGCAATTTCAAAAGAAAATTCATACGCAGTGACAGGTGGAACTGACTGCACAATAAAGATCTGGAATTTGGAGTCTAACACGATGTTCCAGACTCTCGATGACCACATGGGTGGCATTACATGCATAGCTATATCTGATGATTGTGCTCACATTGTATCAGGTTTGTACAACAAATTACATTATTTTATTACAGATACCCTTGCATAAATACTTAAAATGGCTTTGCTGTTCCTTAAACTATTTCATCTTACAATCAGTCCTGAAGTTCAATGCCTCCTTCTTCTATAAGTCTATTTTAAAAAGCGAATGGGTCATTTCAGAAACATATTAGAAGTACAAATAATATAGATTTTACAATCAGTAAACCAAGAAAGTAAAATCTACAATAATCATTTGAACTAATTTGAAGTCTCTACACTAACATGGCCAATCTCTCAACATCCATTTTAACTCCAATCTCCACCAAACACCACTCAAACTATCACTCCAAGCTGTCCTCCAGTCTTCCCTCCAGCTTCCACTCCATCATACCCTCCATGGGGTTGCCAAACCTTGTACAGTAACTTTGTTTCTCCTTGGCTTCGCCCTCCTCCTGTATTTGTTTATGAGAAAATTAATATATTATTATTAATAATCAAGCTGAAATATGTAATTGTTTGATTGATGTCATCTCAATGTATTTTACAGGCTCTGAGGATAAGACTGTAAGAGTATGGCATATTACGAAACAGAAATACTCAATCAACTTCGCCGAACATGAAGATGCCATTTCTAGTGTAATGTTAGCAACAGACAACCAACGGATACTCAGTGCTGATATAGGAAACAGGTTGAAGTTGTGGGAGATTGAATCTGGACAGGTAGGATGAACTGGTGATTGTCAGTCTTACCAGTCTCCTTTTAAGAGGATGAACTGGTGATAGGTCTGTCTTACTGGTCTCCTTTTAACATTAACTGGTGATTGTTATCTTCATGAATTTTCTTTCAATGGGCATTACTGGTAAATTATCATCATAATAATAATACAGGTCGTTCTTCGTTAAACCACGCCCACCTACGCGGTGGTAAAATCCTACTTAACTAAGACGACTAGTCATATAGAAAACTGGTAAATACATAACAAAACAAAATGGCTGAATAGTTACCGCGATACACGCTATATAATCAAAGTTGCTTTGGATTGTGGCTGTATGGGTTTTTAGTAAAAAAATGTTTTCATCCAGTTTTTGAATCCTGTTAATAGCCTACAATTATTTTTTTACTTCATGTGGGTAAATATTATAATTTTTGTTTTCTGAAATTTAGTCTAAATTATATTAACGCAAATTTTGTTGCTAAACTGACCAATCGGCCATATTTGCTTTGGCCACGTGGGATAACTCTGATTAACGCACTCTGGTTACGTTAATTTTCGTTGTCAACAAAGTCTATTTTACGAATGTTGAATGAAAATAATACTCAACAAAAAATCGTAGTCATTGAAATGAACCAGTCGAATAAGCCCAATAATAATAATTTATAAATACTTTATTTCAACACAGGAAAACTTGACTCACCAAAAGCTTAATCAGCTGGTGATTGGGCTAATTTACCTGTTTTCAATTGTATCTGTAAGTAATGTGTGTATTTATTTTCTAATCTAAAATTTAGGTTTTAATGTCATATTTTGGTCCCTCTGAGCTTGTGACACTCACCCCTGACAACCAGTTTGCCATAAGCGGTTTTGGAAATGAACTGATGAAGATTTGGTTCCTGGATAATGGTGAGTCTGTGAAGACCATCAATCACTTGGAAAAAATCACTTGCATAACTATCACGAAGGATACGCAGTTCACTATTACAGGTTCCGAAGACATGTCACTCAAGATTTGGGAAACGAAAAGTGGAAAGCTAACGCAGGTAAGGAAGTATGAGAGCAGCTAACTCAGTCGGCTAACCTGGAATTAGTCACTGTGTGTGCGCTGAACCATGGATATCTCTTGGTCCATGGTTCAAATCCCATCGCTGCTCTCCATGTGTTTCAACATGCGGATTGAAATGCAAGTTTCAAAAGTGCACTGTCTTTCAGATGAGCCATTGGTCCTGCATGCAAAATGGCCTGTGTGCATGTTAAAGAACACAGTACACTCTTCGGAATAAAGTAGGGGATTGTCTCCCGGAGTACTGCCCAATTTACCACCAGAAGGACCCCACTGTCTCTGGGCTTTCGTGGGTTATCTTTGGTATGTATCACACCAAAGAAATCCAATCCAAGTGCAGAGGTCATGCATGTAGAAAACACCAATCTTTGATCTAACCCCCAAAATACATACATCTACAACAGTAGTGAAGATAACTTTTGTAACAGATTAAATTGCTTAAAATGCTTTAACAAAGAATTTATTATTTCTTTTAACTTAACTGTTATTTTAATTGAAAAGATACTTGCCGGTCATGACGAAATGGTCACATGTGTTGCCGTTGCTAACCACAATCGACATGTCGTCTCCGGCTCTAGCGACAAGCTTCTGATTGTCTGGAATCTGTCGACGGGAGAGACTGAGAAAACTCTGGAGGGTCATCAAGATATTGTGACTAGCGTGAAGATGACCAGTGATGGCACACTGGCAGTTTCAGGTATGAATCTACGAGAGCAGTCTGCCATCTTTGTTATAAGCTCTGTCCAGACTATCAAATTTTATTTGAAAAAAACATGTGACATGCCTAAATATGGTCATGATGGAATCACTTCATGACCATATATAGGCACATCGTGATTATATATGGGCATACAACAGCTTTTTTCAAAGAAAATTTATAGTCTTTAAAAGCATATTTAATTGTTTATTGATTAAATACCTTATTATGTACTGATTTTTATATGTGAAGAATTATATGTTCATAATATTGTGAAATTTGTTTTGAAAATTAAGGAAAATTTTTCCCTCTCTTCATGATTTGATCATATAATATTATACAGATATAATGCATAAAAAACAATACAACCATAGCTGTCATAAAAATCAAGTATTTGGGTAGTGATGGGCAAGAAAGTGCATATCCTCTAAAATTAATAAATGTTTAGCATGAAAACAAACCAAGCCAAAAAATGCAAATAACAAATAGTAACAATAATAAAACATGATATTTATACTTGGTTGAATGGTATTCACTAATACCACTGTTTTGAATACAGATCCTATACTGTATAAAGTTGTTAACATTTTTACTTTTTGATTTTTTTTTCAGGCTCAAGAGACGGAACCATACGAGTTTGGTCAATCCAACATGGCGTGATGGTGACTGCTTTCTACTTGCATGTTCCCGTTGTTGATCTGCGGATGACCTTCAACGCTGAGCACATCTTGGTTCAAGTGGAAGAGGGAGGGTGTGCTCCACTACTTTGCCTGCACAACAGCACTGCCGCAGAAATTGAATCACAAAGCCAAGTGAATATTGACATGAAGGATGGTAAGTTTATTATAGGTATTACGTTTGTAATCATACATCATTCTTCTTCTTTATGCTTGGGGACTTACTTAGTATCATGTTAGTACTGTTTTCTCACAGCACAAACATTATCTGTGCAACTTCCATGTACCTGTACATATTTTTTCCAAACCTGCTAGAACGGTTGTTTATCTTACCATCTTGATTACTTGCAACAATTTTGCCTAGAAAATCTGCTGGGGTTATAATTTAATAAAGTTAATTGATTAAACAGATACTTCATTAAGCCCAAGCAAAATCGTTACGAATTATCATAGATATATAGAGTCTGAGATTAAAAAAAAAAGTCTTTGCACAAGGAGGTATAATGCACCCCAGTTGACTGCAGTGCACCACTGCAATTGACGATATTATAGCTGTATGTTGCAGCAATACAGACAAAGGCAAACAATGAAAAAAGATCTATTGAATGCACAGCAATATTAAAATGGAGTCTATTTCGTGAATACTTACCTGGATAACCGACTAATTGCCATTGTTCCCAAAACGGAACACCCCTTCGAAAAAAAATGGAACAGTCCGACCCAAGGCGCCATGTGCGAACCATCTCCCTAACAAACGTCCTCATTCCCTTTTCGAAGTTGGATACATTCTAGCCTTTGAAATTACTGGCCGTCTTTTCAAGCAATTCTGTTCTTATTTTTGCCTTGGATTTATTTTCAACTTGACAAGATATCCTTTTTTTTTTGTAGTCTCGATCGCCATGTCCGCTCGCAAGTCTTTGTGCTCGGCGTGTGGGGGCCCCAAACCGAGTGTTAAGCTCGACTGGCACTCGGAGTGCCCGTTGTGTCGCTCGTGTAGCAAGGCTGAGCCTTGCGAGATTTGTGCGCGCTGGCCCCCGACTAAGTTTGCGGCAGCTCTAGATTGGGCAGCTCAGGCTGCCACTCGATCTCAGGGTTCGCTGCCGGCTGCGTCGGGGGTTGTTCGTCGGCTTCGCGTTCGCCGGGTCCTTCCCCTCCGCTGGATCCGGCGTTGGTTTCGTTGATTTCGGAGCAGGTGGGCCGGGTGGCTCGGGAGGTTTTCGCCGGAATGCGGGCCGCTTCGGCGGCCCCGGATCCTCCGGTTTCTGCCCCTCCTGTCCCTGGGGATGGGTTCCGGGTGGCCGGCGAGTCGCCTATGGACGACTCGTCCGAGCATCTTGAATCGGAATCTGAGGACATTGTCCTCGGTTCCGATCTCTCTCAGCTCGTGGCCCGGGCGATGCCGCCCATCCTTGATCATTTGGGGGTCTCTTATGAGACTCCGTGCCGGGGTGGTTTGGGGGCGGGTCTGTGGGGGCCGCCGGCTCCTGCGCGTCCCGCCCATCCTGTCCCGGTTGTGGGACTCCACCCGGACCTCATCCTTCGCCTGAATTCCCAACAAGTATTGGGGTAGTGAGGGGCAAGAAAGTGCATATCCTCTAAAATTAATAAATGTTTAGCATGAAAACAAACCAAGACAAAAAATGCAAATAACAAATAATAACAATAATAAAACATGATATTTATACTTGGTTGAACGGTATTCACTAATACCACTGTTTTGAATACAGATCCTATACGGTATAAAGGTGTTAACATTTTTACTTTTTGATTTTTTTCAGGCTCAAGAGACGGAACCATACGAGTTTGGTCAATCCAACATGGCGTGATGGTGACTGCTTTCTACTTGCATGTTCCCGTTGTTGATCTGCGGATGACCTTCAACGCTGAGCACATCCTGGTTCAAGTGGAAGAGGGTGGGTGTGCTCCACTACTTTGCCTGCACAACAGCACTGCCGCGGAAATTGAATCACAAAGCCAAGTGAATATTGACATGAAGGATGGTAAGTTTATTATAGGTATTACGTTTGTAATCATACATCATTCTTCTTCTCTTCATTTATGCTTGGGAACTAACTTAGTATCATGTTAGTACTGTTTTCCCACAGCACAAACATTATCTGTGCAACTTCCATTTACCAGTACATACTTTTCCAAACCTGCTAGAATGGTTGTTTATCTTACCATCTTGATTACTTACAACAATTTTGACTTGAAATTCTGCGGGGGTTAAAATTTAATAAAGTTAATTGATTAAACAGATACTTCATTAAGGCCAAGCAAATTCGATACAAATTATCATAGATATATAGAGTCTGAGATTTAAAAAAAATAAGTCTTTGAACAAGGAGATATAATGCACCCCAGTTGACTGCAGTGCACCACTGGAATTGACGATATTATAGCTGTATGTTGCAGCAATACAGACAAAGGCAAACAATGGAAAAAAAATCTATTGAATGCACAGCAATATTAAAATGGAATTTATGTAATGGTTGATATATTGATTGGATTTAAGTTAATTTGTCACGATTCTGGTTTTTTTAGATTCCTCCAGCTCTACTACTTCTCCAATCACAATACCAATGAATAAACCTCCACCGCTGGAAAAGAAAATCTCTTCCATTCGGATGCCAAAAATCTCACGCAAGTCCACATCTTCAGTTACTGAACCTTCAGAGAAAAAGAAGCACCCCAAGAACCGCCATCAGAGTTACAGCGATGGGAATTCAAGTCCGGGAAAGGCCAAGAACAAGAGGTCAGGTGTCTGTGAAATCATATAGGTGATGATATGGTTGCATGATCATTTAATCATCACATGGTTGAGGGATTGTGTGGTCACGTGATCAGATGACCTGCCTGCAACAATGAGGCACACGTTAGGCTTCACAAGGAATTAATGAGCCTCCTAAGGTTCAATATTTAAGCTTCCTGGAGTCTGATTAGACTTCATTGTTGTACATTTTGAATTGGTGCATTTTCACATAGAAACTATAGGTGAAATATTTCTGATATTGAATTACTGAACTGGCAAGTTTGATAGCAGTTTGAGAGTGCCTATGTATCTTAAAAAAGATTTGTGCCACAGGTGGAGTGTCCTCCATTGGAACTTCTCGAATAACTTTCTTAAAGTGTAGAGTCCATTTCCAAAACAACCACTTTTCTAAAACTCTCCAAAAAATGATATCATTTATGTTTGTTTTTGTAGATTTTATATTAAAACAAGATTATCCTGCTTATGCTAATTTGGAAGCTATTTCTTTATTTATTTAAATAGTAATTTCATTGGAATTAAATTTGTGATGTCGTTTTAATATCATGGACAGAGCGCCCTCTGTGCAATATATAAATTACCATTCCTCAAGACTAAGCGTTTCTTGATGCTTAAATATTTTCCCCCTTCTACCAAAAGTAGTTTGATGCTAAACATTCTCCATTCCAAATATTATCCATTGTTATAGATTTTATTTATATTGTTTTATAAAACCTACACTTAGCATTTTTGTTCTGAAATATGAAAATATGTCTTATCCACCTGTTAAACAATATTCCGTACTTTCATTCCACCCATAAGTTAAGTTTTTTTTTTCGTAAATTAAATCAGAATGATGGAATTGATGTAATCAGCTCTGTAAATACAACCATGATATTTGAAATATTTGTTAATTGAAATAAAAATATTTTGAAACAGTTCATATACATAAATGTATTAATTTTTGGAATAAAATTTCATCTCCATTGTAGATTAAAACATTTTATAATAATATTAATCTCCATTTTATTTTTAATAGTTTGTATGAATATAGATATTTAAAATAATACAGTTCTTTGATTATCAGAACTTATCTACATTTGGTGCAATATGGTTGATAGTTTTATTGACGTTGTTTTTATTTATATTCTTTAATTTAATAGTTTAGTATATTTTAAACTGATAAAAATTATTTTCTTTTTCTTTTTTTTTTGGTGCTACTATGTATAATATTTTAAATATTCAAATGGAAATTTGTCTTTAAAAAAATTAAAGCATTGTTATCAAAGTTACTTTCATGGTGTATAGCTATGCAGTTACTACATTGTACAGTGGTCGTTTGACTTTCGGCCGAAGAATCCAAATTCGCTCCCTGTGAGCGGTAGATGATGCAACACCATTTGCTAATTGTTGATGGCAGTCTGAACGGATCGTCAATAATAATGACCCATTGTGCGTGCACATCATGGCGTTGTGCCATACCTCGTCAGTCTGCGACAGTCGGGCACAGCGAGTGCATGGCTTTACTGTTTCCGATTACCTGGGTAATAATGTGAAATGTCTTAAGGCTTTCAATCAAAATTTTATATAAATTTCAATTATCATTATTCTTAATACTGTATTATTATTATTATTATGGTTTTCATTATTATTGTTATTATTATTATATGTAAGATATAGATATAATCTTTCCACCAATGTTTTTCATATCCATTTAAACATATAAAATGCACGTGTAGACAAACGTAGACTAATTTAAAAAGAACATAATATTAAAATTATAGATTTTGGTATGGTGCTGATGAATTTCCACATTAGTACATTTTGTGATTATTATAATTTCAAAAACATATGTGGAGCTAAGGGTGCCAATTAATCCAATCCATTGTTACCACTGTTGGTTGAAAGGGTTTCAATATAGTTATTAAGATAAAAGGAACAATAATTTTTTTGTGTTGTTTTTTTAAGTTCAGATTTTAGAGCTTCATTTGCTTTCAAAAACCTTTAAATTTTATAAAGGAGACATATCAACAAATTTTCATAAATCTATACTTTATTTTATAATTGAATGTCGTAAATATTACTTTTGTATACACTTCCGCCTTCCCAGTAAGAATAACTAGGGAAAAATGTAGTGTGATTTGATATGGTCATACCTGGTTTTCAGTCCGTTGTCAGCTAACTGGAATGGAAATTCAACTAATATTCACCATAAATATATTTTTTACTTTTTTGGAAAGTAGACCCTATTAAGAGGACACCTTTGGGTAAAAAAAAATCAAAGGTGTGTAATGTGAATAGAGGTTGGCTATAGTGTTTAAAGATACACTTTCCCTCATTTCATGCCCAAAAATTGTCCCCTTAATGGGAGTGTTCAAAGGAGGGTTTCTGCTGTAACTGAATTTATGACCTAATTTTAGCTCTAAAATGAAAAACAAAACATATAACTGGTCTCTAAAGAAAAATTAATGTTTTAAAAAAAATCACATACTCTAATAAGATAGTTCCAGTTTTCTTGGATATTTTGTACATGTAGTTAAATAGTAGATAAGAAGAACCATTTGTATTGATAGTATCACAAATTAAATATTGTTATATATACATATAATGTAATTTCTTAATTGGTGTGACTGTTCCCTGCTCAGTCATCTTATTCTATATATATCCCACAGTTTGTACAGGAACTAATATGTGTGTGATGTTAAGAACATGTTCAAAGTGATAATAGGTATGAAGAGGTAAAGAAACATAGACATATGAATTATGTTCAATTTAAAAAAAAAAAAACATGTAATGAAAATAAGTTAAAGTAACTTGTGTGGTTGTACTATATAGATTTAGTTCTACATGTATTAATGTCAATTTACTACATTCTGCTGTTGCTGCTGAATGTAAATGATGAAAGCTGGTAAATATGATATCATGTATAGTTATTGTTAAGGAATTTTGGAACATTTTCTCTCAGCATTAAAGTGTATTGGAAGCTACCAATATATTCGCTTCAGAGTTTATGAATGGAAAATACAATTGTGTGATCAGTAGATATTTAAAAATTGATTAAGAACAAAGGTGGTTCCAGAGAAGATTTTTATAACAAAATATGTTAATGGTTGTAACAGTGGATCAAATATATTATAATGAAAAATCATGTGTGTTCAAAAAACTATACTAATAGATATCAAGTGAACTTTTGACTACTGATTTTTAGCATTAAATAAAATAACATTCCTTTTTTGTTTATTACTTTTGGTATTGGTTTTCTGGTAGTAGCATGCGATAAATTATTGTTTTATAATAATAAAAAATGAAGAAATGTTTCCTGTAAAAATTACAAAATCATAGGAAATATGGCTTAATTTATAATTGCCCATTTTGCAGATTTGAGGAACTTAAATCAAGAAATCGAACAAAATAAATTGCCTTTGAATTATATAAGCATCAGCAGTAGCAATACTTCTTTATCCTCTTTTTTCTCGGTATTTGTAGTATTTTGAATTGCTTAATTTTTATATTTGATTAAGAAAATTTTAACTTAATTACTTCCAATACAGGTAGATACAAAGCAGTTTTACAGAATTTTTACTTTAAATATCCTTAAATTGATTACCTTCCATTTTATGGGACATGCAAGGAATATAGAAAGGGTTTTTTTTATTTATGTATCTTTTAATTCGGTGAGGAATATTTATATTTTATTCTAATTTTTAATTTATAAGACAATAACATGGTTTAGATATACAAAGTGAGCATTTTAAATATTGAATTTTGTATGTTTTAGCATCACTAATATTAGGTATATCACAAAATCAGGTTTTTTTTTATTGAAATGATGACTCTATAGAGTAGAATTAAATTCTTAAATAATAGACTTTTAGCAGGTTTTAACAGCCATTTGTTGTGGGACTACTATCATCATGCAAGACTTAGTTGCATTGTTGTTGGAGATACACTACTCTATAACAAGCATTATGTTGCAGTAAAATGAGAAAAATGACCTAGAATTTTATCATAAGATACAAGAAATTTATGAATATTGCTGATTATGAAACTGAAAATATATTTAAATATCCAATCATCGATAACAGTTGATTGACATAAGAATTTATATTTAGATATAAGTTACTTGTTAGAAAATATATTATCATAAGTTGTGATAAAATTACTATGATATTCTTTTTATAAGAGCATTTCAATTATTATGTATTAAGAGATATATCAAAGCTTTGAAGAATAATCAATAAAGTAATTAATATTAGATTAATTATTTGATTAATTAGGTGACTCTTATATTGCTTGAAAAATCATTAAAAAACAATCGGTATAGATTTATTGAAATTGCCGATATCTGTGTTTATATGGACATTTGTGGGTAACTGTTTGTTGGCATTGTGATGTATGTAAAATCTTTTGAAAAAATGAGGCTGGTGTTTTATTGTCTTTGAATGGAAGATTGTCTATGAGACTAAATGAAAAAAGACTGGGCTCAAAATCTATGTGAGCCTTCATAATTGTATGTACTGATATATATTGAAAATATTGAGTGAATATATTAACATAAATTAGCATGGTAGCTAACAATTTTAATAGTAGTCTTGTATATAACAATCGTGCACTATTATGATAAGCCCCTTGTGCAGTATCTACCCGAATGTGAAGTAAATTTAATATTTAAGGATGCCATGTACCAATTAGAAGAAAATATATTAATGTACTTAACGATATTAAGTAAATTGATATAAGTAGAAATACAAAATAAAATTATCATTATTTTCTTCTTTTTTCATCTATACTATATTATGTTCATCACTCCCACATAAAAGTAGAATGATTACTCTTGTAGTTTTTACTGTTATTGTTTCTTGCATTAATTTGATATATTATTGGTCAAATACTCTGAGGTATGTTTTTTCTGTATATCTTTTGTGAATGCATCCACTTGTATATGTCTTAATGAACTTATATATAACATGTATCTATATACTTA